CTCATGAACAAAGAAACATCTTAATGTAATAATCAAGATACGTGTGAGTCTCTGATATTAAACATATAGTTTACGTACTTTATTTTCCGTTAAATTACTACTTAGTTCAACTTGATAACAACAGGTTGAGTAATAATATGTAGGTTTTACATAAGGCTAAATAAATGAAAATATATAATAAAATTTAATTTATAGATCTAATCTCAAAACAGAAGTCTATAAGAAGTTTACCAAAGACATGAAAAGTAGAACAAATAGTCCTCAAGAGTTTATGATTGTTCAGATCCCATACTAATAGTGAACAACTCATCAAAAATGGATCGCATTCGATAAATCAATCAACTGGATAAAGGATTAGCAATACTCAAATTAAAATAGACAGTAAAGATTGAAACTAAAAGACGACCGCTCAACATGTAATTTCATTCACATATAGAACTATAAATAACGATATAAATCAAGAAGTAAGTGCATTTACTCAAATATCTCAATGAAAACTCAATTGTCGATGAAAGTGCACAGCATGTAGAATTTTTTTCTATTTGTGGTCACCAAATGGTACAGACAAGAAACCTATAATAAAATCAACTGTATGTATAGTATGTCTAAACAATACTACGTATACAAGTACAGTAAATCACAAATTTCCTGTTAGTTGATAAGATTTGCGTTAATAATGACATTCGAATATAATTACTCTGAAGGAAAAGAAGAGATCAAATTCCTGGTTGCAAGTGAAATTCATAACATTCAAAGTCAACAGTCCGAAATTATCCAGCTTATTTTCAAATTATGGTTTAATTCCATAATATAGTCTTGGTTATATACTACTAAATAATTTAAAATAAGTATTAAAACAATTATCTAATCCTTTCCTTGAATTTTTAATGCTTATTTAATTGATTCTAGTTCATAATGAAAACTAACATTGAATAATAAATATTCACAACAGAAAATTGGGCATCGATTAGAGTCATTATAAACGACAATAAAAAGAATTATGCTTTATATAATGATAGAAAATAGTTTCATTTTCAATATTGAAACTTTTGTAACTATACTATTTCGAATATGGACTATTATATATACTTGAGGATTGAATTTCAATACATGATATTATCACAATCTATAAAATATAAACATTATTAATCTCTGTATCAAATATCCAAAATATTTTAACTTGTTTTATTTTTATTGTTGTTTTATTTTATAATAAACTGTTGATGGAGTTTTGTTCTCTGAGTAGGATGTTTTGGTCTTCACCAGCACGTTCTACCAACAAGTGTAAGATACAGACCTCCAATCAACTGACCATTGGGATAAAAAATAGCTGAGCAAAGTAGTGGGAGAAAAATGGTAAACCTAATCGTAACGGATACACATTACAGGATACGCAAATACCAACACATCATAGAGGACCAAAAGATGAAGCTACAAAGAACACTCACGTCAGAATATTTGGAAATCTTGACAAAAACCATCGAGATATCATGCAAACGACACAGAGAACAAAGAAGAAACATCCTAAGGAAGAAACTAATCAAGATCTCAGAACTATCTATGGAAGAAAACACAAACAACTGCGTGGTCAACCTGTCAAAACAACCACTAACAAATATAGAAGAACACCTACTCCGAAAGGGATTGAACTACAACACAAGCGACGCGTCAAAACTGAAATTCTTCGCAGCACTAGAGTCATCACTTAGAACTTACGGAATACGCGACCAAACCATCCAGCTCAGAGAACAAAACTCCATCAAAATCATTCACTTGAGCTACAAATCTTCTCCACCATTTTATAATAAACTCTTTCGTTGTTGGCATTTTAATAGCGATATAATAGATAAAATAGTTTTAATCTATTCTAATATTTTTACAAGATTATTAATGTTAGTAAATAAATCATTATTATTTAGATTATGGATAGAAATAAATAATTTTGAGATGATAAAGAATATTTGTAATTCAAGATTATGATGTTAAAGATGTTGTATTGCATAAATCATCTTGTTCAATAAACATAACATCAGCAATATACATATAATTACAATATAATTGTAGATTTTTGCAGAAAACAAAACATTTTTTTAAAAAAACACAGAAATGAGATGGTGGAGAAGATTTGTAGCTCAGGCGGATGATTTTGGTGGAGTTTTGTTCTCTGAGCTGGATCCATCCATCTCAGCTCAGGAAACAAAACTCCATCACCACAGAAATAAAAAAGAGCAGTTTAATTGAATTATTTCCTTCCAAATCTTACAATATTAATTAATCACTATTAAGAGAAGGTAGTATTTCGTAGAGTTTTTTGTTTAATTCCAGTTAAGGAGTGACATTAGAATTCCATTCATATTTCAGATACTATAAAAACATCTAAGAACAATAAGAGTTGCATTAATGAGGTAAAATTAGATTAACTGAGTTAGTTCTTGAACAAGAATATCGCTAAAAGATTTAAATCCCCAAATGCCCTGGAAATGGCGAGGTTGGTTTCATATGGACAAGCATATATATTCACTACTAAATATGTCCTGCTCATTCCCTACTTAAGGCACAGGACTTTTTACAAAATTGAGAGGACAAAAAGCAAATGTCCAGTGATTGAACCGGGTGGGTGGGTACGGAACACTTACCAAGGGGAGTCGGAAAACCTTGGTTCCAAACCAATGCTCCACATAGGCTACAGGACCCTGAGGGACCAAACGAGATATGAACTTATTCCTCGTCACCACCTCGTTCTATGAGATCGTATAGCCTAACGTTGTTCAACTGCTCCGTAGATTAAGGCTCGAGACCAGGCTTGGGGGTGGACTCCAAAGAAAACCACCTGCTTCGGTTCGGACACCTGGCCAGTATTCCAGCACACACGCAAATTTAGTGTGGTGCATATATATTTTGGTGCAACTTCGTACCAATACTTAAGTGTTTAAACAAATAAATACAAGATTTGGAAAAATAGTTCAAAAACCGAAATCTGTTAATATCCACAGATCAGCAACCTTCAACTCTCCTTTTGGGTATACCTACAACTACAACATTTAACTTTATTTTAATCGGTAGAAACCACGTTTTTGTTTATTTGACCAATGAAAAGTTAGTCAGACAGTCAGTACCAACGTGGAACTTCGTACGTACGTACATCAGTTCGAGTTGTCATACCACATTAGCACACAGATACAATTGTCAATTCAAATTCCGTAGTGGTAAAGGCAGTAAAGGTATAAGCAGTAATCGGAAAGATTAGGGTTTGAACATGTTATTCAAGGAGTATAATACAGTGAAATGAATTTGGAAAGAGAAAGAGAGAAGGGACATGAAGAATTCAGAAGATTAGAATTTGGGAGAACACAAAGAGTGGATGCACCTGTGCGATTGCAAACGATTTGGAGTCATTTCACTCAAGGTCTCTAACTACCGGTTGCTATCGTCTCGCGAATCCCAACCAGGTAGTCTATACCTACTAACATGGCTCAGTCCACTTGCCAGTGACTTCATGGATTTGTGCCATGTTTTGGTCTGGCCGTCCCTAGCTTTCTTCCAACCTATTCCTACACTACAAAGCATAGCTCATCGGGACAGTCGGTGGTTGAAACGAACACAGAACTATAAAACGGGAAACTATGATGGAGAAAACGAGAAGATATAGATTCCAATTTATAAATAACTTGCCTCAAGCAAATTGTGTAAGGTAAATTTAGTATTTAGATAAAATCTAGTTTTAAAATTAAATTCGTAGATTCTGAACTGACATAAAAGAATGAATAGTAGAGGTAAACGACAATAAAAATTTCCAATAATCTTGTAAAATAATAAGCGTCCTGTGGAGTTCAGCCAGAAATATGTTACGTACTATCGTTTCTGATATAAACAGGTCATACAAACAAGAGAATGAATCTAATGCAGCAAAATCTTACTCGCTATCTACCCTTGAAAAGATAAATTTCTAAAGGTGAATAAAATTATTTCAACAAAATCATCCAAAACATTACAAGGTATTGAACATAATTAGAATATTATGCATTTGATTTACTCTATAATTTTGCAGTTACTAAGTGATTCATTCGCCAGGTAAAGTTTTGTATATCTGGCTTGAATATTTATATCCCCTGCCTAAAATGACTGGTGTTTTAGCTTCGATGAACTAGTGTATGGTTGATATTACGTCCATTTTCATTTATAATTTATTGAAATAAAAAAACTTTGATCCTAAGGGTTCGCATGACTACATCCCAGTGATGGAGGGACGATATGACATAAAATGTAAAATCTAAGTAAGACGTGATTTCTACTGCAATAATACGACTTTTTTAAATGCTTCTAAAATTGATTACTTGTTAGTAGGCAAATTTGCAAAGGGAAAAATACAACTATCTAGTAGAAGCATAAATGACAACAGGCCGCTAAAAACTGTATTTCGGGATCAATTACCATTATTTCTATGATAAGCTCTTAGGCTGACACACATTTTCTGCTTTTCAACCTTAAAGGTGAATTTTTCAGTACCAGTTTAGTCAAAATCTCTACTAAATTTATAAGCAAACTAAGATTGAATACCAAAGTCAAAAACAATCCCCGGGTATACTAAAATATTTTAGAGATTACCAAGCAATATTTCGTTCACTGCATGCAGCATTAAACAATACAGCATCAAGACTTTCCCAAAGCTTTCAATATGCTCTATTGATAAATGACCCTAACACTATAAAAACACATAATATATTAATATCATAGAGTTGTATATAAGACATTGAAATATTGAAAATAAACAAACAACTACAGACATTCTAACATGAAATTTATGAACAAGAACACTTCTTTAGTAGATGAAAATAAGTTTTATTTTTATGAGAGTATCTCTGTATCTATGGTTAAATTTGTTAGATGACAAAATTACTTTCAATATAGTGCTTATGATTTACAATAATGTCAATCCAAGTGAGATGAGAAATTATGACGTCGAATATGATTGGGATTGATTTGTGCATATAAAGTAATACTCAAGTAGACTTTTTCTTGTAATCTTTAATAGCAGCCTGGATAGCATCTTCGGCAAGCACTAAATATCAAACAGAAAAATAAGAGAAAATACTCGAACCAAAGAAAATTTTTAAAACATAGCGAAGCAAGAATGTGTAGACACCAATATATATATATATATATATATATATATATATAAACTACCAAGATCAATTTTCAACCATGTCAACTTGAACTACAGCTTACAGCTACCCTACACGGATCAAATAGGCAATCAACTGTTTCATAAACTGGTGCCAAGTTTCGGTTTGTCAGTTTTCAATCTTCTAAAGTTACTCATATCCTAGTCAACATTACACGTTGAAATAGACAGCAAATATATATCTTCTTAATAAATCCAAGCTACCTAAGTTGATGAAGATTTACAGAACTCGAATTTAGTGAGTAATAAAGATTTCACCAACTCTGAAACATAATTAGCCTTGAACAAAAGAAACATTTTTTTGATAAATTTACAACAATGTACCATTTTTGAATTGTCTTAGGATGAAGAGATAGAGATTTAACTCCAAAGAACAGGTATTGTTATGATAAACCCAAAGTGATGCAAAGTTTATTTCGTCCTCATTTTTTACACACACCACAAGCTATAGAGATTCGAGCTAACAATCCAATTCATGAAATTTACTTACGTTGTGCTACTTATTTGTATGTTTTGTAAAGAAACGCTACATTCAGAATAGGTTAACAAATAATGGATGTAAAATTAATTGGTACTGACTTACTAGAACAGTGCAATTTGACAGGTGGAAGTTTTAGTTCTTTGGCAATATCACTATTTTTTATTTTTGCAGCTTCATCAATTGTTTTGCCTTTAACCCATTCAGTTGCCAGTGAACTGGATGCAATTGCGGAACCACAACCAAATGTTTTAAACTTTGCATCTATTATTTTCCCATTTTCATCCACCTGAAAATAAAAGAAATGCACCAAGAATAGATTTTTACGTGTGAAAACGAGATTAAAAAAGGGAGAATAGTCAAAATACCTGGCATCTCACTACTGTTTAAACATATATATAAATTTTACGGAAATATAGTAAATAGTTATTAGGTTAAAAATGTGAGGTTCGAATTTCCAATTTTTGTCTAGACAACGGTTTAAACTTGAAAAATAAATCTATAACAGTACCTGCCTTTCGTTGCTGATCATTAACTCCACACAAGTTTACAAAAGTTAACACTGAGATATAAACGAATCTTTGTCTTTTCATCTGATAGTCAACTTTCTAGTTCCCTGTTTTTACAAAGTCTGACAAAGGGATCAGCAATGTTGGGATCGTTAGGAATTATTATGAATTATTTAAAAAGGATACCAATGGAGACAAGTACTCTGAAGAACTATTCCTCATTACATCAAAAAGCATACATCTTGGTGACGTAAGTCATACTTATGTAGTAAGTCTTGTTTGAAGTATAAATTTGAAAGTGATCATTATCATCATCATAAAATCAAATCTACTTAGCAAATACCTAAAACTGGTGAATGTTGGACGATTATTTCTGACTGAACTACCTCAGTTGTGATTTAGGAAAAAACTACTTCTACAGAACACGTGCAAGTAGCATGTCATGGTTCATGTAATAACCTATAAATACATACTTAAAAATAGTTTTACCTAGAATGGATGCCTTACCTTTATTTGGAGCTTCATAACATCTCCACAGGCCGGTGCACCAACCAAACCAGTACCGACAGACATGTCTTTCTTATCGAATGAGCCTACATTACGAGGGTTCTCATAATGATCTATGACATTCTTGTGATACGCCAAAGCATGCTGTTTTATACATTTTGTAATAGCTGACTGGCATATCCCGAAACGAGAAGAAATCATCGTGTAAGTTCGTCAATTGACGACTATTGTATACAGCACTAAAAAAACACAAACTAAGTATCGAAAATCAACACAAAAAAATGAAGGAGCAAGAGCTATTTGCTGAGATTAAAATACCGAAAAACCTCAAAACGTAGTAAACAATCCCGCACACAAAACACAAATTATAATCCCTTTTGTTGGAATAAATTAGAGAAGTTGAAGTTATCTGCCTTAAAAATTCATAAAACGCTAAATAATCGTACGTGAAACAAGAACTTTTGAATAAAACTACTGAGTCGATGCTGGTGATGTCATCAGCTACCGAGGTATTGTATTTAAGCAACTAATTGTAATAAGAATGACTGAATAAAGTATATGATGAACGAGTGCATCTATGTTATGAGTAAAAGTGATTGATAGTGAGACGTGATGTGTTGTTCTAATTTTCACAATGGGAATCTTTAATATTCTAGACGTAATATGGTAAATTTACCTCTTATGAAAGTCAGTAAGTAACTACCATGTAATTTTGGGGACATTCTTGTTTACTCAGTAAAATAGCGAATTGTTACCATGAGATTATCTTACATTACGTTAGTGAATGCATCAAAACTGGAGACTAATTCTCATCATTATTTTCGATAAATGATATTTATAATTATTGCCAAGGTTTGTCCACAATGCCAACAAAAGTACATCAATGATCGAATTCTGTTGGTCATTATCAGGAACTAAACAAACACGACCATGGTTAACACTCAGAGATAGACAAATGTAAATATATTAGTCCTACAGGGGGGCTATCAGAGAAGTAAATACCTCGTAGGTAATTTTTCTGACTAGCACAGGTTGACTAAGGGTTCGGATCAAGAGAAGAGTAATATTTTCCTCAGAATTTCAAGACCTTACTGATAAGTCTAAATTAGCAAGAAACATGGGCTCAGAAATTCCACCTGATAGTCTTTAGTCATGTAGTACCAAGGTACGGAAGATGTGCTTTGCGATCAAATTATGAGTTATCAACTTAACTGCTGGGAAACATAAACATACAACTCGAAAACCACACACAGATCTGTGCAATAAATAAAATTTAGATGAATAATAATATTACACAGCTATGAAAATTATTGTTGATACCCTACAGGTTTGTAGTCACCAAGTATAAAGTCGCATTACCCAAGGCCTGGTAGATAACGCAAGAATACGACAACCCGCTACAGTTTATTAACAATTTGGAAACTGGCAATCCAGACTGATTTCAAGCTCCTTAATTTCTATACTATGATCAGTACTACCGAAAATTCTGACAAACAGACATAACGGTAAAAAAAACAGTAAAAATAGGATTAAATAAAGATATTGATAAGATTAACCAAAAGTGAGGTAAAGTTTAAATCCTATATCGTTAATATTTCTTAACGATATTTTGATGTCTGACTGACTAAATTTTGAAAGACATTTTTACCCAAAATCATAACATTCTATAATAATTCCGACTGTTCTTAGTGCTATAACTTGACGAACTGGCTCATCGGTCATCCGAATCCTACATCTCACTGGGATAGATGTTAGTAGTAGTCTTGTGCTAGACGAATCGTGTCACCAAAACGAACTTAACCTCTGAAGGAAATCCTTCAAACCTTCCTGGAATTGTCACTGTTTATTCTACTGGCCTCAACAAAATGAACGGTGAGTGTGGCGATTCGCTTCTACGCAGAAGGTACTTTGTGTACCAAATGAACATGCAGAGTAGCGTGTGAGGACTACAAAGGTGTGTCGAAAATCCAACAAACGCATGAAATGCAATTACACTTAAAACCAAAAGTAATCGACAACAATCAGCAGTGACACAAGCTTCACATTAAGACGGTCATAGAATCGAGACTCAAAGCAGTTAGTTTAGCCGACTAACCTTCCGATTTCAGTGTATTCCTAAAAAGAACCGCAGTTTCCTTTAGACCGAAGGAAATGTTTAGGTTATTAGACTCATTTTTCAAAAACATACTATAGGTATTTACCTAAAGTGATAGAATTTTCCCCAATATTGAGGATATATATTTGATATATTTAGGGAGATTGGGCCGCTACAGTAACAACGTTACACAAAAACCCAAGAAGTGAATAGATAGAGGTCAGAAATGAAGAGCAACGATATTTCCGCTATAAAATAATACTGTATAGTAACTTCCTTTACTACAGAGACAAGTAGTCAGCTTTACATGAATTCATACGAAACTGATTATTTGAGGGGGCTTTCAGGACCAGTTTGTATTAAATACCCCATTATTATCTCCAAAGAGAGTTCGGACCCTTTTCAGTTCTGCTAACTGCTTGGCCCGTATTACTGAACACAAGCGAATAGTCACGACTTAACAGATCATGCATACCGTTACGAAATGTTCAAGGAACGCACCCTTTTTCAATGATGAATATTCTGACCTGTCTTCAGTCTTCAGTCATAAGGATAGAATATCTGTATCCCTGTAGTTTGAAATACGGTAAAGTTCTAATCTCTTTCTTAATATATTAACAAAAGGTGCTGATATTACACGTCCTGGTAGAGAATTCCAGTAATTCACTACTCTGTTCGAGAAACGAGACTCCAGGCGTAGACGGTTTGATCTTGGTTTTTGGACTTCAGACTACGTTGGGAAAGGACTGCGATCTGTTTTACCCTAGCCTCAAATTTGAATTGCATGCGGTGAGTTTTGGCATCCACGTCAGTCCACGTTCGAGTGCGCCCTTCAGCTCATCTCCTACAACAAATGGTCAGTCTGATTTACATTGCAGCGGTATATAAATCCCCAAAATAAATAATTGCGAATGTCTCCGACAATAATACTCACCTCAGTAGTTTTACTGGACACACCCTAGCTGAAGGCTATCGGTCACATATCCTCACCAGATCTCAAGCGCGTACATTGTGGTGTTTGAATGAACTAATGATTCCTTTGTACTTGTTGAATGCTTGATTTTGAATTCTAAATACAGTACATTCGTTTGAAGTTATCTAGTACTTCTTAATCCGATTACGATATTTCTGGGATTCTTAGTTCATACTATAATTCGAATACTCCTGATTTTCATGTACATCGTGCTACACATCCCTTTCAACTACTAGTTAGTTTAGGACAAACGCTTCTGGGCATATCAACAGATTCCCTAATATGTCTTCAAACCCCTCTATTTCCGAATTCTGATTTAACCAGTTTGGTGTGCTGTTGGTATGGTGTTACGCGTAAAGGAGTTGTCAAACTCCGAGTACCTGCTGGATCTTTAACATATTGCTCGACTCATCGACCATTTTCCAAATGTGTCTCCGGACCGTTTCACTTCCGTCCCGTGGTTTGAGTGGCTTTGAGGTAGTCGTAAATGAGTTTGGTTTCTGATTCTTATCTGAAATTCCTTCTCGCTGATGTAGTTTATGCAATATTATATTTAGACCTAAAAGTCACGAAATAAGAGATTTATGGATTCCTAGATATAATCGACGGACAAGAGTTAACCTAACTTCTCCGTGATGTCAACAAGGTTTGGGGATGAATATACTATCAACCTCGCAATGATAACTACCTGAGGGAAATTCGATGAAGCCGTTTTGAAAACATTGTAGTGTCTAGTAATAACATACACATACATGATCCATCTTGTCTTCTGAACAAGCTAAAATAACTCTTATCACTCAGGACAGTGACAAAATATTATGTGCTTCTACGACACGAACCAGAGTGGCATTTGTACGAAATATTGATTAATTTTTGCTTGATGGCCCATTGATTTCGAATTCCAAATATAATACGTTCATTTGTGCCCATCTAGTTTTATTTGCTTTAAATTGCACTTTTTCGGGAATTCTGAGTCAGTACATTGTTTCAAATACTTCTAATTACTACATTGGCTTTGCAATGGAGCCTGTGATTGGACAGCTGGATATACATTCAAACTCTGAAGCTTTCGAAGATTACATAGAAAGGTTTGAAATCTGGAGTATGAGCAGGAAGGATATTAAGGATGATAAAGTTGTTGTTCGTTTTTTCCCATTCATCGGGAATGGTGACTAAAGCTCACTAAAATCGCTAGCATTCTTAGACAAGCCCATTTCACCTCCCTACGCAATTCCCGATGAACTACTACTCAATCATGTGAGGTGCATTAATTTCGAATGCTATGAAAGAACAAAATTCCAGAAACGATTTATCAGAACGTCAAAAAGGTTGGAGACGTTTGTCTTTTAATTGAAGAAACAGTTCGTCAAGTGTGATTTTGATGACCAACTTCAAGTGCCTCTGCGTGGTGGGTTGTTTTCTGGGATAAATGATACGAATTTATGACGATAATTAATTCAGAAACCGAAATGAAAAAGCATATATTACATATAAGGCAGTCAATGAGTTTGATTTCCAGTCAGTGAAAATTTTTAATACTTCGCACAGCATCGTGATGAACTATACTCTCAGGATCATTCAATCTCATGCTTGTTTAATAATGGTTCTCATTCTCGTGGAAATGTGAAAAATGATTTATCAAATAATTGCAAGGCAGATTACACAGTTGATCACAGGTTTGATAAATGCTCATGCTCTGGTAAATCTCACTCACGTAACTCATATATTTTTTCATGTCAAATGCTTTAATTGTGATAAACAGAGACATATCAAATCGGTCTGTAAATCTACTGTCAACTTTTCTACTAGTGGTGTAGAATCTTGTAGTTTCAGTTTTATAACGTTGAGTGTATCCAATTGTCGTTTATCCTTATTCACGACTTCGGAAGGTAGTTTCCATAATCTGAAGCGATAATATACCTCCCTGTTACCATTCGATGACTCTATTGTTGACACGGGCAGTATAGAATCATATATCCGTCCAGTCAAACGAATCCTCGTTAGCCTTGTATAACTCTGAAATTGAACGAACTTATGTTTCAAGTGATATTCATTGAGTTGGCTGCTAAGCCTGCTAAGCCGCAAAAGGCACTGTTGGGCAGAATACAAACGAACTGACAACAATGGAGCGTA